GGAGGCTGAGGCAGGCGTATTACAAATGAGAGGCCAGCCTAGACAATTTAGCAAGTCCTTGTCTCAAAACAGAAGATAAAAAGGACTGAGTATGTAGCTCAGTGGTAGAGCACCCTTGGGTTCAATACCCAATACCACAATAAAATAAAATAAAATAAAAACTAAAACAGCCGCTTTACCCCCATGGAAACAGAATTGCTTCTAGTTCAAGCTACATGTTATAGTGTAAGCCTTCTAAGGACAGAAATATCTTGTTTTCTCCTATGTTAGTAGGGCCTTCTATGTACAGTTGGCTGTCCATCTCCATGGGTTCATATCAAGAGGTGGAACCAACCATGGATTAAAAATACCCAGAAAAAAATTACATTTGTATTTAACATGTGCAGACATTTTTTTCTCATTATGCCTTTAAAAAGTGTAACCAGTGATTTATGTAACATTTACATTGTACTAGGCATTATAAATAATCTGCAAATGACTTAAAGTATGTAAGAGGATATATATAGGTTATTTGCAAATATACAAGATTTGAATACCTGCAGATTTCAGTATCTGCAGGGAGTCCTGGACTCAATTCTCCTACAGATGTGAAAGGGTGACTATAATAAATACTCAATAACATTTTAAAAAAAAAACTTTTTTTGGTCTTTTTGAGACAAGGTCTCACTATGCAGTTCAGGCTGGCCTTGAGCTCATTTTGTAACCCAGGCTGGTCTCAAACTTGCAACAATCCTCCTGCCTCAGCCTTCCAAGTGCTGGGATTACAGGTGTGTGCCCCCATGCCCGCCTAAGAAATTTGTTAATATTTGATTCATTCTATAGTTCTGTAATTCTAATTATGAAAGATACTAACTAGGAAGTAACTGAAGACATCATCTATTCTAGTATCTTTTCTAAAATTCCATTCCATTCAGGATATTTCTGCCATCCAAGTACTAAGTACTACACCAGACCTGACCCTGCTTAGCTTCTGAGATCAGATGAGATGGGATACATTCCGGGTGGTATGGCTATAGGTGATGCTGGATATTTCTGACTAGAAAAACTAAATTTGGGTTTCTCCTGATTTATCTGGGGAGTATCCTTTTAATGGTGACGGGACTGGTCTGAAGCCTTATTGAGGCACAGTAAGGATGTAGCATCTTGAGGACTTTTGGTTCCTCTTGCCTCTGCCTCAGTACATTATTGTGGATCCACTGTGTGTTGTGCATGTTTGTAAGAGATACTTTAATACATAATGTAGTATGTAAATTTGAATTTAGAACTTCATTGAGAAGGAAAACCTATATACTGTATAATCTACTCAGAAATTGTTTAAATAAAAAACTAATCAGGTTCAAATAGTAATGGGAGAAATCAGTTTGGATAGTAATAATAGGAATTTGCTTTATTTTTTATTAAAACAATACTGAACTGCCAGGCTTGGTGGTGCACGCATGTAATCCCAACCCTCAGGAGGCTGAGGCAGGAGGATCGTTGTGAGTTCGAGGCCAGCCTGGGCTACAAAGTGAGCTCAAGGCCAGCCTGAGCTGCATAGTAACTCTGTCTCAAAAAGACAAGAAGACAAAAAAAAAAAACAAAACAAAACTGAACTAAATGTGTATTTTGATACACCTAGTAGTAAACTTGTCTTAATTTCTTTTGTCCTATACACATATTTAACAATTCCTTTTCTCTTGAAATAATATGATAAATTAGTTTTGATAGAATAATTTCTTAGAATTAGAAATGAGAGGAAAATAACTTGGAAGATAAAGTACTGGATAATCATTGGTGCTTTTTTTTTCCTTAAGTCAGGCTACTTTTCTAGTATGTTCAGTGGTTCTTGGAAAGAATCCAGCATGAATATTATTGAACTGGAGATTCCTGACCAGAATATTGATATAGAAGGTACTATCTCTTTTTATGGAAAAATTATAAAAATTAACCCTTATTCTTTTGGTAGAGCACATTTTTGTCTAACCTCATTGGCTAGAGATAAAGCTCCATCTAACACCTGAAGGTGATAATTTTATATTACTTTACACCCAAGTTTATCAGTTCTATTCTTCATCATCCCTATTCTTTACCCATATGGTGTTTACCAATCTATTTACTCACCTTTGTAAATGTCTGCCCAGAATGTGGTTGTAGGAGGAAGGAAGGGAAAGTATCACTTACTAAAATTATGTGATCTTTTAAAAAATTAATAAATCTCTCCTAAATAAAAAGAAATGAGTCACGTAACTGATGCTATTGTAGATTACCGAGACTTAGAGCAATTACAGGACTTGTTTTGGGTCTCTAAGCAGTTAGTAACCCTGCAGTCAGACTGTAGCTCTCCCTCTTTCTATTCTGGTGCTTCTGCTCCCCTCGTGAATAGAGGCACCCAGTGTCCACTACGCAGACGAAGAGAAGACCTGAGTGTTACAGATCATGAGGGGCATTGTTGAGAGGGCAGTGGAGAAGAGGACAGCCAGGCTTAGATAGCGGCATGGCAGGGCCTGGGGCTGGGGGAGTAGCGCTAGGGAGGGATGCTGCCAGCGAGCGTGGCCTGGACAGGCCTGCAGCTGTGTGCCCCATTGCTCCCTTGCTGCGTCCCCCAGTGGCAGAGCACAGAAGAGGCAGAATTAAGTTTATCATTGAGTCTGTGTATTGGATTTAATGTTTGTGTTACTCGGGGCTCTCTTGTAAAACTTCTTCCAAGGGTATGTGAGTTCTGATCCTAACTACTGCCAGGTTTTGATGTAGAAGAATGCACCTAGATTTGTTACAGTAAATGGAAATTTACAACATTGCTCTTACATTAACACCATCAATCAGTAACCATTACTGCCATTTCAGTCGTGACATTTCTCTTATCCTTTTATGTACGTACCAGATTCAGACAGATGTCTGTGTGTGAAAACAATTATTGTTGTTATTTTTGCAGTAATCTTATCTGTGTTGTTATTGTTATCTCATTCTGCATATGTATATTACTTGCAGCACTGCAAGTTGCTTTTGGGTCGCTGTATCGTGATGATGTCTTAATAAAGCCCAGTCGAGTCACTGCCATTTTGGCAGCAGCTTGTATGCTGCAGTTGGTACGTATCACATTATTCAAAAAAGATTGCAGCAGTGTCTTCGTTAGTGTCTCTTCCAAAAACAAAATACAGCTTAGCTTTTATAATTTTTAAAATAAAAATGAAATGCATCGATAACATTTATTATAAATCATTTTAAATGCTTAACCAACACTAATTTATTTCGGAGGGGTTATGATGTCTGGGTACAATGAATGCAAGCTGTTTCCATGTAGCTTAGTGTGACTATAATGTAGAAAATATTTACTCAGGTTCATTTGCAAATTTCTGTTAATTATTGATCTTGACTATTAAGTAGTTTCTAATTACTAATTTAGTTCACAAGTTCAAAAGAATCAAATGCTACTATGTAGACTTTTTCTTAATTATGAAATAACTGCACTATATGTGTGCATTTTACTAATAGAATGACAGGCTTATTCATTCAACAGAAATGTATTAAGTAGGATGTCAAACTAGGCCTAAAGAACCAAAAGTAAATTAAGATGTAGTTCCTAAATTAAGATGTAGTTGGGAGAGTTGCTGTACGAACCCAAAGTAAAATAAGAGCTATCCAATATTATATGTATGATAATATTAATGTATGACGGTATTATATGTATGGGAGGGGCAGAAGGCCGATCATGAAATTCCTCTATGCCAGTGAGGGCAAACCTTTTAGAGCTTTCAGTGATACAGGCACCGCACTGTGGCACACGTGCTGTATGTTCACTGCCACTGCTCTGTACATTGCTTTGTATGTAAGTACGGTTAGGTGATTCTAATCAGAGGAAAGGCAAGGTTACGTTTCAGAAAGAATACGAACAATAAATTAAAAGAAAGATGAGTACAGAATTAGACACAAAAGCCTACTTCAGTAGTCCAGATGAGGCCTAAGTTAAGGTAGTATAAATAAACATGGAGAAAAAATGCGTATCTGAGAAATTAAGGAAGGATAATTCCCGGGATATGGTGTCTGAGGAAATGTTAAAGAAGAAGTGGGAGGGCTCCAGAATGACTTCCAGGTAAGTTTAAAAACCGCGTAGAGTCAGTGTATTACTTTAATCCACATTTTCCTTTTATCAGCATTTACATGCTGGTTTATTTGAAGAACTAATTAATGACTTGCTAAATATCCTTGGCCGAGATTTTGATTTTTAAAATATTTTTATTCTTTCAATATTTAATTTTGAATAAGTATATCTTATTTTCAAACTTGCGTCTTTTGGTTTTAACATTGTATGTCTGGTTTCTGCCTTATTTTTAAAATTTACTAACTTACTAATGTACTTGCATGATGAGTATATTTCAGAAATTGCAATGAAAAATGACAGTATTCTTTCATACAAAAGGTAGTTCATTTGAAACCTACTTAATCAATTTAAATTAAAACATGAGTTGTTTAGAACTATAATGTACTTGTTTTAGGGGCATCTCGTACTGATAGCGCTAATTCATATCATTTGTGGAACTCATCCCTGGATTGTCCGATCACAGAATGACGCCAGAGAAATTTACAAAAGTCCCAGAGGTGGGAAAAATAGAAAATAAAGAGAACAGTAGTACATACTCACCCCGCAAAAAAGTTAGTTGAATACTTGCTGGATTTTTTTCCATATTTTTATTGGATTCATAAAAAAAAAAAAAAAAAACCCTTAGGCTTGCTGCACTTAATCAGTTTTCTTTCTTTCTACCTTTTTTTTTCCTTTTTCATATGTAAAGCACATATCAGAGCTAATTTTTCCCAATGAAATGGGCCTTTCCAGTGCTTATTTATATTTGCAGGATGGTTTAATACAACAGTGTGGTGAGACAATGAAGGAAACAATTAATGTGAAAACTGTATGTGGCTATTACACATCAGCAGGGACCTATGGATTAGATTCTGTGAGGAAAAAGTGAGTTACCCTTTCTTACTTTTCTTCCCATCCCACTTCTGGGAATTCGGTTGCTTTGGTTTCTTAAGAGAATGTATAGCTATTAGAAAAAAAATAATAGGGGGATATAATTTTATTATCTAAAAAACCCCTTTTTGATTTTGGATTAATAAATTCCTCAGGAATTTTGTTTTTGTAAGTGAACAAAGATGGGTTATATATAAGCATAGGTGTAATGTACACCTGTGACTCCAGCACTCTGGGAGGCTGAGGCAGGAGAGTTGCAAGTTTTAGCCCTGCCTAGGCAATGTGACCACTTAGTGAGACCCTGTCTCTATATAAAAATTAAAAAGGGCTGGGGATGCAGCTCAGTGTGAAGGCCCTGAGTTCAATTTCCAGTAATGAAAAAAAAAAAAAAAAAGGTATAAACAGGCATTATAGCTATGTCAGTACTGGCAATTTTTAATCTATTAAAAATTAATGAACTTATTTTCAGATTTTAAATATGGAAATATATAAGCCCCTTCATAAACCATTTAACCCAAACTTCAACGATGGTTTCTTAATTAGAAATGATCTTATTTATATAAAAGAAATATTCCCTTAATAACTACTGACAAAAACAGTACTAAATTTCAGATTATTCTAAAATTTTTGAGCATGTCCTAGCAAGATTAATGCCATGTTCTTATTAATAAATTCAAACTACATAATAGATAATGTAATAATTACATGTTATAATTTCAGGTGCCTTGAATGGCTTCTAAACAATTTGATGACTCATCAGAATGTTGAACTTTTTAAAGAGCTCAGGTATTTGAATTTTAAATAACTTCATAATAAATTATCCTAAAACAACATTTTTCATTTGTTAAAGTATGTAAGTTACTTCTGTAGAACATGAAAAGTACACAATTAATGAAAGATACTGTGCCTATATTCATAAACTAAAGAAAGGCAGCCCAAATTTTTTTGTTGTAAATGATAAAATGTATAACTATCGTCTTAATCAATTTTAATAGAAAAATGTATTGCTGTTATGCGACTAAGTTTCAAGCGCTATCTCACTTCTGCTGGGCCCTCAGAGAATCTAAAGGTCGGGGTTATAAAGGGCACAGAGGTGATTGTGTCATGCTTTCTGCTGTCAGGGAGCCTTTTGGAGAAATGAAGATATTTGAGATAGATCTGAGAAACTCAAGAGTGGAAAGGAACTTTTGAAGACTTTAGGGTACAAACCTCGGAGTGTGTGGCATTTTGAAGGGAATGTGTAAAGCCAAAGATTTAACTTCCTGAGATGTCAGTCGCATTGTTTTTATAGTGAGAAAGGTGTGAGAGAGGTGTACACTTTTATGTTTAAATACATCATGCTACTGACTCTTTTTTTTTTTTTTTTTTTTTGTTACCAGGAATCGAACTCAGGACCTTGCGCTTGCTAGGCAGACGCTTGTACCACTGAGCTATATCCCAGGCCCACTTAAATACATTATGGAATAAAATATTCAGATTTCTTTTAATTCTCAATATAAAATACAGTTTATAATTTTTTGTTTTGTTTTTTTTTTGGCTTCATTGAGACCGGGTCTGGCTATGCAGTTTAGGCTGGCTTGAACTGTCTATGTAGCCCTGGCTGACCTTAAACTCCCAGTGTCCTCCTGCCTCAGCCTCCACAATGCTGGGATTACAAGTGTACGCCACCATGCCCAGCTTATTTTTTTGTTTTGTTTTGTTTTGGTTTTTTGGGTGCTTTTTTTTTCCTGGTACCAGGAATCAAACTCACAACCTTGCACTTGCCAGGCAGGCGCTGTGCCTCCGAGCTAAATCCCCAGCCCCTTGTCTTTTGTTTTTTTTTAATGGTTAGATTACCTTGTGAATTCTTGGGTTCTTTTCATGTGTCTTAAGAGATACTGCAATAGACAAGTTCAGAAATACTCATCACTTAGTGATGTCAAGGCATAAACAAATCCCTGCAGTATATTTGACTTCACAATAACACTTGTTCCTTTTATTTTCATAACTTCTCTTTTTTTTTTTTTTTTGGTGGTCTTAGTATTAGGAATTGAACCAAGGGCCTTTGCACTGAGCTACATCTCCAAACCTTAGTTGTCCATGTTGAACTGAAACTTACAGTTCTCCTGCCTCAGCCTCCAGAGTGCTAGGATTAAGATATGTACCACCACACTGGCCATAATTTCCGATTGAGCTTTCTTTTTTTGGTTTTGGTTTTTCTCCGGTACCAGGAACCAAACTCACGACCTTGTACTTGCCAGGCAGGCGCTTTGCCGCTGAGGTAAATCCCCAGCCTCCCGATTGAGCTTTTTCAAAGGGAATTTAAGCCAAGGCACAATTGCAAGCCCAAGCCTAACCTGGGCAATTTAGTAATTTAGTGAGACCCTGTCTCAAAATAAAAAGTGGTGCTGGAGATATAGCTTAGTGGAATGGCCTTACATTCAATCCCCAGCGCTGGGGTGGGGGTAAACACTGATAATAGAAGAATCATCTTAAAACTTCAGAAGTTCTACATACCTATAGTCCAGCACTCTGGGAGACTGAGGCATTTTTTAAAAATGTTAAAGGGTTGAGGATGTAGCTCAGTGTAAAGGCCAGCCCTGGGTTCAATCGCCAGTGTTGAGAAACAGATACACACACCCAACAAAACAAACCGAAAACCCCGGAGCTCGTCTTTTTTAAAATGGCTTAAAGGAAGAGGAAAAAACCCTAATGGTATCATTTCCACTAAGCTAAAACACATTTCTTCATCTTACTCTTTAATTGTAATAAAAAACATTTTATAACTAATCAGAACTTTTAAACTTAGAGATGAAAGGTTAGTATATGTGCTGAATCAAGCACATAGATTACTTTATTTATTTTTTAGTTTTTCTTGTGGTACCGGGAGTCGAACTCACAACCTTGCACTTGCCGGTCAGGCGCTTTGCTGCTGAGCTAAATCCCCAGCCCCGAGCACATAGATTACGTTAAAGATAAAGCTGTTTTAGTGATTTTTTTTTTTTTTTTTTTTTTTTTTTTTTTTTTGGTACCAGTAATCAAACTCATGACCTCAAACTTGCCAGACAGGCACTCTACTGCTGAGCTATATTTGCAACCCTGTCTTAGTAAATTTTGACATGTGTATTTTTTGTGTTTTGTTTTTGAGGTTTGTTGTTTTTGTTTTAACATAGTGTATGTAAGCTGGGCATGGTTGTGCACGCCTGTATCCCAGCACTCGGGAGGCTGAGGCAGGAGGATTGTTTTGAGTTCGAGACCAGCCTCAGCTACAAAGTGAGCTCAAGGCCAGCCTGAACTGCATAGACCTTGTCTCAATAAAAAAAACAAAACAAAACAAAACAAAACATAGAAGTGTATGCAAGGTGGGCCGCAGAAGGCTGCCACTCGGCGCATACTGAAGGGTACATTATTGGGGTGTTGCTGTCATTGGATTGATACATCAAAGCATATCATTTTTCTGTCAGTGTAAAAACAGATCTTTCACACCACACTTTTTGAATTAAAAGTATTGCTAATTTCCAGACTTATTAATAACAGACTCAGCTGGGCATGGTTGTGCACACCTGTAATCTCAGCACTCGGGTGGCTGAGCCAGGAGAATTGTTGCAAGTTGAAGGCCAGCTTGGGCTACAAAGTGAGTTAAAGCCAGCCTGAACTGCATAGCGAGACCCTGTCTCAAAAAGACCAAAAAAAAAACCAAGAGTCATTGAGTTGGACAAAAAACTGTTGTCATTTTTAACTCTACATTTTCATTTGATAAAAAAGTATTCAGTGTCACCAGAGTTCTTGGGAGCCTATACGAGAAGATAGGCTCACTCTTCTGTTTATCTTTTCCAGTATAAACGTCATGAAACAGCTCATTGGTTCATCTAACTTATTTGTGATGCAAGTGGAGATGGATGTATACACAGCTCTAAAAAAGGTATTGGCATAATATGATATACACAGGGTATCACCTGAATTACCATAATATGATATACACAGGGTATCACCCCAGAATTGATCGTAATAGTGAAAAACTGGAAACAGCTAATAGTGTCCAGTGATGAAGAGTGGTTGTTATGCAAGTTGTAGATGTAGTTGTAGATGCTGCTAAACTTATGATTGGATTATATCCCAATAAACCCTTAAGCTGGATATACCATTTAATATGTCTGACTTCCTGAATGTGGTAGCTTAGCCTCTCCAGTCTGAACACTTACATTCGCTACAGCTGGGCAAAATAATCTAACACAAACGCTATTATATAATAGTGTCCCATCTCCCATCTAAGTTGTTGAACCAAGTGAAAGTGAGAAACACACGGTTGTCTGAGCACCCTCCACACTATCATGAAGTTGACAAACCCTAGCCTGAGCCATGGTAGGTTGTAGAACTGCCTGCCAGAATATTGTGTGTAAGGCTTTATGAGTGATTTTAGCTTTGCCTTTGTACTTTTCTATCTTAGAATACTCACCTGTTTGTTTCAACAGCAAACATTATTTACTTAATCAGAAGTGTTCTAGTGCAGAAGGTATTATCTTACAGCATTTAAATGTTTTTTATGGTTCTCAAGAATGTTTTCAAAATTGAGTTTTGGGTGGATTAAATTAATTTTATGATTAATTTTTCTTTTAAAAAAGTGAAATTGTAATTTTAGAGACCCTTTGCCCTTCGGCCTTATGTTTCACTCCATCCTTTGGAAGCATTTCAGCATGTTCTAATCTAATTTTTATTCTGGCAACTCTGAAGAAACAAATTAGCAGTTACTCTTTTTTTAATCATCCACCTTTTATTTTGCTTTTTAAATTATTTATATTTTGGGTTTTTCCTGTAAGAAAAACCATGTACTATTTAACCATCTCTGATTTATTTCACTTAACATTATGATCTTAAAGTGCACCCATTTTCCTGCATATGACTTAAATTTATTCTTGCTCTTACTGAGTTTCATTCCATTATGTATAAATACCATGTTTCTTTAATCCATTCATCTGTTGACAGCCATATAGATGTTTCCAAGACACAGCTGTTACATATGAGTTGTGCTGCTCTAAACATGAGTATGCATGTGTTGCTGTAATATAAGGTCTTTAACTTTTCCAGGAAGGTACCTGGAAGGGGACTAGCTGGGCTGAATGGATTTCTATTTTTAGTTTTTTCAGCAAGCTCCATCCTGATTTCTTTTTTTTTTTTTTATTTTAAAGAGTAGGAGAAGGATAACAATAATGGGGGGGGCTTACCAAATTACAGACAAAGTGGTAGGAAATTATCAATGGTTATTGTTTTACATATTGTTATCTACAAGATAGTTTCTCAGGAAAACAAATAGACAAATAATAGTGAGTTACAGACAAAAGAGGTAGGAGATTATCAATAGTTGTTTTA